ACTACGAGTTTACTCGCATGCCATTCGGGTTGAGTAACGCTCCAGCGATGTTCCAAAGAGTCATGGACGGAATTTTGCGTCGAATACAAAATGAAAAATATCTGACGACATTATTGTATATACTCCACATCACTGCAGGAACATCTAGAACGCCTGAGGAAGGTTTTTCAAAGAATCCGAGACCCCAATTTCAAAATTCAACTCGACAAATGTAAATTCTTGAGACACGAAGTCGCCTATTAAGGTCACGCAGTGACTTCCGAAGGTGTTAAACCTAATCCCGAAAAAATCATAGCCATCAAAAACTATCCAATAGCTTCGACAATCAAGCAAATAAAGGGCTTCCTAGGGCTATTAGGTTATTATAGACGTTTCATTTTTCAACAAAATGTCTTAAGAAGGTAGCAAAAATAATTCATAACATCGAATTTATTGATTTAATGGCTCTCAAGTATGAAAGATACAAGTTCGAAACTGATTTGTTGGAGATACAAGTTATCAGAATTCAATTATAAAATCATTTACAAAAAAAGCAAATTGAATACTAATGCTGACGCCTTAAGTCGCATCGAGTCGACATACAAAAGAAACCGACGGCTTTTCGACTTTACTATCCTATATAAACGAATTTAATAGAAAATTGAGAGAAGAAAACCAAAACACCAATGGTAGTCAAGACATGGATCAGATGTCTACCGTAGTACACCCAGACCCTGAACTAGAAAAAGGACCTTCCAAGACAGCAGAAGATGGAAGAACACCGTTCACACGACACAACGACCAAGATCCAATAGTGGGTGTGCCAATTTTAGAATCAGCTGTTAATTATGGCGCGAACCAAATAATAACAAAAGTATTCCATTCTCCAGCAAAGACAAAGCGAATAATATTATTTAAAAAAAAAAAGAAGATTTTTAGTCCAGCTCTCTGGAAATAATTTTGAAAACGACATTTTAGATTTTATGAGAGAATATGTAGCACCCGGAAAATTATATTCGCTATACTTCGAGAATCCTGAAATGTATGAACCATTTTGTGAAGTAATAAGGTTGTAAATATATGAAAATTAATATTACTCCTACTGCGTCTAAATGATCCGACATCGTGAATCTAGATACTCACATTCTAGATAAAGAAAAATTCTTAACCATCATTGACAGCTTCTCTAAATATACCCAAGCATATCCTCTCATAGCATTAAACGCAACTGAAATTGCAGACAATCTAATCACATTTTTCTCTCATCATGGTATCCACTCCAAAGTTATAATCGACAACGGAACCGAATTCAAAAACACAGTCATCACCGAGCTATTGCAAATTCAAAAAATAAAAATCCATTTTTGTACCCCAAATCTTCCACAGTCCAATGGTGTTATAGAGAGAGTTCATTCCACTTTATCGGTGGAATATGTCCGATTATTGAATGATCAGGGATTCCAAAATACCCCAATCATCCAAAAAATTAAATACGCAATTTTGGCGTACAATCATTCCATCCATTCTGTTACAAAATTTAAACCCTTGGACGTCATAAGTGGTCATATCAGTAAGAAAGACCCATTTAATATAAATTTAGACCAATTACTCTTATCAGATTACGTCGCGGGGCACAAAGACAAAACTAAACTTCTATATTCCAAAATCATTGAACACCAAAGAGAAAGTAATTGGAAAAATTAACGGAACCCCTGAAATGCCTTCATTATTTGCCCCAGATCAAAAAATCTACATCCGAAAACATACACGACAGAAAATTGGTGATAAATACACATCCTCCTACACAAATTGAGACTATCGATCCTGTACGTAAAACAGTGACAACAACAACCCAAGGAAAGATTCACATGGACAATATTAAACGTCCATTCGATGGAAATAAGTATAGTTATGATACTTATACTTAGTTAAGTTAACACAAATCATAAACCATTAGTTTTATGCATTAGGTATAGTTAGTAAGGTGAAGCATTTTAACATTTACCATGAACCATTCTCTGTCATCGCTATAACTAGAAATAATTAAATAAGTAGTAGGTATTTATCATATATTATATTATATCAATTCAATGTTTTCACCCAGGCGCTCGGAGACCAAGAGCATGTCGTCATCCGAGAGCTAACTGATCACCTAGGCATAATTTCGGTTAAACTAGGGATCGCAAAGATGCAAGACGAGTATACACCTTTATAAACTATTACGATTTAAATTCCATAGTTACAGAAATTAACAAACTTCACCAAAAACCGGAAAAAATCCAAACTCTAGTACAATCACATAAAGAATATAGTACTGATGATGTAAGCGATTATTTGAAACTTCTACAAGTAATACAAAATCGAGTAAATGACAAAATAAAAGAGATTATACTTCATCCTAAAAGATTGAAGAGAGTCCTGATAATTGGTTTAGGCACGAAATTCAGCCTCATTTTAACTTCAACCAAATTACTAGAAGTTCAAGTACCTGGACCCTGCTTTTGTATCGGGTCATTGCCATTTGCTGCCTAGTTGCCATTTACAAATATGTCATGCCCATCTTCCAAAACAGAAGAAAGAAGAACGATGCCCCCGCAATTGAAGTGAAACTACCCTGTCAAGCGTAGAGTTGGAACTTAAGGAGGGAGGAGTTATGTCAGTAATAAGCGCTGACTAAACAATAAACTTGCTTAGGGCGGGTATTATAAAACTACTTTGAGAGTTAACCTAAAGTTAACTTCTGGAATAACATGTAATTCAAAAAGTTAACTTCAAGTTAACTGTCAAAGCAGTTTTATAATACCCGGTTCCATCATACTATACGGAAACACTAAAACTTACAAGTTCGATATAGTTTCTTCATAAAACCGTTTAGTTCCTCTTTAAAATGTTCAATTAGATGCGGAAAACATTAAATATTCTTATGAAAAAATAAATTTATACTGAAATTCATACAGGAAAATATTTGTCATTTAATTTACGAAGATTATTGATTTTATGTTTTTTTTTTTAAATTGAAAAAGTTCCTAAAATCAGATCATATTTTTCTTTACGAGACCCAGAAAAAAATTACTTTACTATTGATTCATTTTTTATTTATGTGTCATTATCAAAAAACAGAGCGATAGTGATATTAGACTGATAAAAATTGATATTATTCATTGATCTGTGTCAAAGGTTGAGAAGAGGATCCTCTTTTATAATTTTTATTCTATTAAGGCGGAGAGAATCATTTGGTACGGATTGATGAATCGGTAATTTCTAAAAGAAAATATAACAGAGGTCGTTTGGTGAAAGAGTCGTGGATATTAAAAATTTATGATGCGACTGAAAAAAGGGAATATATTCAATATGTCAAATATCGATCCGCTGCGATTCTTCTACCGATTATAAGAAAACATGTAAGGGTCGTTAGTGAAATATGGACAGACAATTGGCGCGCTTACTCTGGATAAGTAGACTATGGATTACGTCCATCGAACAGTAAACCATACCAAATATTTCAAAGATCCCATTACAGGAGTCTGTACCAACCAGGTGGAAGGGGTCTGGCTTGAAAAAATATCTCAGAGCTATGGGTGTCATGCATTCAAAATATTTGCCACAATATATTGACCAATATATGTGGAAGCAGATATATGGCAAAAATGCCATTCAACGAATGTAAAACTCAACATTGCAAATTGGACAAAAATATTAAATGATTTTTTTATAAAATTATTTAGTTGATTAATTACATATTTTGTTCCCTAAGGAAGTTTGCTTTGTTAAGTTTTAGTGGTTCTTAATTCAACTTTTCCATTTTTATATTATAATGTATAGATACAATTGGTTAATGGAACTTATTAGTAAGAAATATAAATAAAACCTCTAAGTGAAACTATGACTATGGTTATTTTTATGTTTATTATTATTTAAGCTCAGGAGATATCACACAATGTGGCAACGTTGATTGCACCTTGCATTTTTATTACGTTTAATGTCGTATTCGATTTATGAATTGGTCAATTTCCGTCAGTTTGAACTGAATTTTCTTGCAGAATAATGAAAAAACCCGCATTTTTTTTTTTTCATAAAACGACTATTTGAATTGTCTATTTTAATGTGAAAGCTTCAAAAATGTCAAATTCGTGTTTCCGGATAGTGTGATGGACCCTTTATTGTAACGATCAAATTTTTAGAGTTAGGTCTTGAATTTGTAATTTTTAATTCGGAAATATTTTTTTTATTGTATTAGGAGTAGAAGCTTTACTTTTTTGTGCTGAAGCAGTAGGTTTGCGAGCCGAACGTAGTGAGGCTTGCAATACTGCTGAAGCACAAAAAAGTACTTCTACTCCGTATGCAACACGCGATTTTTTCTCCAAACTAATGGGGTAAGCTTGGGGGTAACTGGATGGTTGAGCGGCAGTAAAAGTACGAGCGGCACTAAAAGTACTTTTGCTGCCGCTGGGGTTGCCAAGCAGCATAGAAATTGAACTTCTACCACCTTGACAGATGTTAACCCGCTGAATTTGCCTGGCAGCATAGAAATTAAATTTCTGACATCTTGACAGGGGTTGACAAAGGGACTTTTTTTTGACGTTTGGAGAAAAAAAACGTTAACCCGGTCTACGACGTGTTAACTCATACAAATAATAGACCGATATACGTAATGTATTTTTACCCCTTCCACAACATAAACTCAAAATAGCTGACACCTCTTTATCGCGACATTTCACAATTTCCTATGAGGTTGAAGTAAACATGCGAAAACTAAAAATAATTCTACCTAAAAAAGAACCTAAGCACTAGAAAAATTCTATTAATATATATACTTAAGTTACAAACAAAACTATGAAAAATACTCACCATCACTAGCATCTATACAATCAGCAAAAAATCCAATTTATCTCTACTCCAAAATTTCCAAGCTTTTAAATATCATTTTGTAAACAAGTTTTGTTGACCGAAGCACCTTTTAATAAACTAAAGTACAACAGTGTGTTGGCAAATTGTAGAATTCCCCGTGCACACACACATACCAATCCGGTCAAACTGGACTAAAAGTAAAAGACCAGGGTGGCCCCTCGTATGTCACCTGGGGTGCAGAGGCCAAAGGTGACGAACATACACGGGGAGTGAGCAAGCCGCAAAAAACCCTAATATTCGTCAACTGTCAACACATTACCTGATATTAATCATAAATGGTGATTTGTGTAAACAGAGGAAGAATTGCATTTTTTAAAATTCTTTTTTCGCTAAAAATTAAGCATTTTAAGTGAGAATGAGTGGCAGCTGGACATTGGTCATTGAATTAATAAAGGACGTTATGCAAAAAAGGTGTGGGATGGAAAGGGAAAAAAGGGATCCTCTACCTGGAAAAGGATCATTGTATTTAAATTAGCCAGGTAGCACAACTGTAAGGACAACGACCGTTATTTTTTGGTCGAGGGGTAACAACCCGCTAGCCGCTAGACTCGATAATCAAAATGCGTGGAAAAGATGCGAGAAGATATACTAAATCAAAATATAAAATGGATTTTCGTAAGCAGCTTTTGGACAATGTTATATGCAAAGCTGCTGCGAATGAAACTGCCTAGCTAAACAATTTATTTTATAAACATTTATATTGAAATTTGTTCATTTACTCATCTAATGAATAATTTTTTTCATAGGGACCACAAACAAAAATGAAACTAAATAAATTCTCATTAATTTTTATGTAAAAATTTTAATGCTACATCATTATCACAGCTTGAACTTTGCCACACACCCTCAAAATTTGTCTTTTGAGAAATTTCTATTCAATTGGGAACTAAATTTAAATAAATATCCTAAATTTTATTATAGAGCTCTAGTCCTCTCCGTCCTGGCACAGGCGTAGAATTGGACAACTGAAACTCGTTCATCACCAAAGTTTCACCATCATCACTATCATTGTCTAAAATTTCCCGTGATAATCGCCTTTTGGCTTCTTGTAAAGACGTGTAAAAGACGTTATTGCTATGAGTGCTACTCTCAGGAAATTCTATATTTTCTCTAATTTGATTGGGCCTTTTTGCACAAAGGCTTATTGCACAAGTAAGGAGCATACCTAGAAATGTTATTTAGTTACTTATTAATTGAATGTAAAGGCAGAATTTGAATAAATTATTTGCTATCGTTTCAGTTTTGTTAAAGTTAAGTTCAAAGGCATATTTTTCCTTTACTTATAGTATTTCATAAACACGTCGTTTCATTAATTTTGGTACCTAACATTTTAATCGGGTGTGTTACCTTGCCATTTATCACACTTGATTAAAATGTTATCATTTTTATAGCATTTTAATCAATTATCAAGATCAAGATTTGGACTTTCCGAAGTTATTTCGACAACTCCTTGAACACATACAGAAAAATATCTCTATTAAAGAGTTTTTTCAGCAGTTTTAAAATTGAATTTAACTTAAATGCGCTTCTTAAATTGAAATTTGATTTCTTTATCAGCAAGCATTTCTTATATTATTTATCACAAAACCTATTAATTAATAACAACTTACCACAAAGTACTCCATAGACAAATACAATGGTCATCGTTGTCAAAGGTGACAAATTTATGATTTCTACTAAAAGGCTATCTTCATCCGAAGGCTCAGCAACATTTCCAGTTGAATTAATACACTTCGTAATCTTATTATCATTATCATCAAATATCCATGAATTTTTTATTGGGCTACTTGACGATGAATCATTAATATCTTCGGACATTTGCATTTTTTCGAATTTATGGAGAATATTATTAATACTAAAAAATGTTTCTACATCTTCTGAACAAGAATCTGTATAAATGATATTCTTGGATTTAGCATAATTTTCAAATTCGATAACATCGTCATCTTTGCAGTTGAAATTGTTATCGTTTGTTTGGAGATTGGTCAGTTTTGGTAGTGTTTTTAAAATGTCTACTTTTATTATTTGAATGAAGTTTTCTGATATATCCAGCATTTTTAAGTTTGGCAGGAATTTTAGAGTGTCTTTGTCGAGCTTCGTAATGCCACACTTGCTTATGTCCAATACCTTGAAAAGAAAATTAAAATATTTATTCAATAATACGCATGCTCCCAATAAAATCTCTATAGGTAGGTACCTATTATTTAAAAAAATAGATGTTTTTGCTTATTACCTTCAAACTATTTATCTCAATCGGTGGTTGGTCATTAATACTCCTCAATATATTCCCTCTCAAATAAAATTCCTCCAAAGATTTTAAGCTTTGAAACCAAGATTGCGTAAAATATTCTACAGCATTGAAAGACAAATCCAGAGATTTCAAATTTTCCAATCCTTCGAAACCATTGAAATGTATTTGGCGTATTTTGTTGTAGGAGAGATTTAGAAGTTTTAAGTCAGTTAAATTAATTTGCTATAAAAAAAAGCTTCTATACAAAGACCCTGATAACAAAAACTTATTGGGTACTTACCAAAAATATTCTATCTGCCAATTCCCTAATTTGATTATTACTCATATCCAAAATTTCAGCCTGCGGAGGAATATTAAGTTCCATAGACACCAATCGTCTATGTTGGCAAGAGGCCCTTTTCAAATTTTGGAAAACATCACATGTACAAAATTCAGGGCACTGTATTTCCACGGTTTCCGCACATAATTGACTGAGTTGCATCAAAAACACTATCCAACATAACCTATCAACTTTCTTCATGATTTTCCCTGAGGTATAGCTGTAATATGAAATTAATCATTATTGATTATTTTAGTTTAAGGTCGTATGTTTTGTTTATTAGTCATTGAACTTATCTCGCTCGGCACTACTCTACTTTTGAGAGCATTATTTGATAACGGTGACAACGCAAGTTTCAATGATTAGATAAGAATATGTACCTAGGTAATATTAGATAGATTCGAGTTTCGTCATGTGGCACGTAGTAAAGTGCATTCTTTATTTTTTAAAGAGACTTTCTCTAACAACGTTTTTTGTTAAATCTCCACCAGATTAGGCAACTAGACTTTGAAAGAGCATGAAATAGTTACACCTTTTTTTATGTTTCGTATTTTCACATATATTTTTAGTTGTATGTATGTATGTATGTATGTATGTGTTGGAGGTGTCAGTTGCACTGCGACCCAGGTTTATCTATTGTACCCCTCCTTCTGCTGTTAAGTTCGGGTTTCCTGCTTAAAGCAGCCCCTCTAGTCCTAGGTCCTTTAGGAATTTTAGGATGTCTAGAGCTAGAATGTCTTCCTGCTGATTAAGGGGACTTCCCAAGTTCTTCATTCTTGAGCGGCTTACGGCATCGCAGTTCAGTAGAAGATGGTGAGGTGTTTCTTCACCGTCTTCACAGAATCTGCAAGTGTTACCTTCTTCCAACCCCAGATTATGTAGGTGCTTATTCAACCCGGTTAGAGTTTTAAGTCTTTTCTTGCTAAGGTTGACCAGCAGTTCAGATCTTTTTTGGTTGTAGCTACCCAGTAGATCTTTGGCCTGTCGTAGTTCTGGTTGGTCTAGCCATTGTTTGTTCCTTAGCGGGTTCTCTTCTTTTTTGAGGATTTCTTGCAGGTGCGCATTTCCGACGCCGCAGAATGGTTCTGGCCCAGTGAAGGGAGTGGCGGCTCCCGTTTTTGCAAGTTCGTCTGCGCATTCATTGCCCTCGACTCCTATGTGTCCAGGAACCCAGAGTTTGTTTTGTTTTCCTTCCCTAGTTCATTGAGTTTCTGTAGACATTCCCATATTATCTTAGAATTGATTACCGGCGAGCTCAATGCTTTGATAGCTGCTTGGCTGTCAGACATTATTACAATTGCTCGTTTTCGGTACCTTCTGTTCAGGTTGAACTGCACGCATTTTCCGATCGCATAAAGTTCGACTTGGAATATGCTTGGTAATTTGCCCATTGGCTCCGAGTATCTGGTTCGTGACCCGAATACTCCGGCTCCTGTCCCCTCAGCAGTTTTGGAGCCGTCTGTGAACCATTTGATGGTGTTTGCTTTAAGGGACTGGATAAATTCTATGTTCCATCTGTTCTTTGTACTTAGTTCGATGGAAAAGTTTTTCTCGAATCTGAATTTATCAACAATCGCATCTTTTGGTAAGTCCATGAGGTGTGCACAGTTTGGTAGAGGAAAAGCTCTGCCAAAGTGCGTTTTCCCTTGTAGACTTATCTTCGCCAGTCTTAGACATGATTCACTGGCAACCCGCTTCACTATTGTGTGAAATGGTGTTAGGTCTAGGATGACTTCCATTGCCGCGGTTGGGCATGTTCTCATTGCTCCTGTTATGCATAGACATGCGAGTCTTTGTAGCTTTCCTAGGGTTTTCCTAGCCGTTACTAGCTGGGTTCGGCTGTACCAGGCTACCGCTCCGTAGGTTATGATAGGTCTCACTATCATGGTATACATCCATCGTAGGATCGATGGGTTACAACCCCACGTTTTGCCCGCAATGTTTTTACATACCATGAGTGCCGAAATTGCTTTGTTTGTTATGTTCTATGTGTCGGTTCCAAAGGAGTTTAGAGTCTAGGGTTATTCCTAGGAATTTAACTTGTTTCCAGTGAAGCCTGCTTCCATCGAGGCGAATGTTCCTCAGATATGGGAGTTTCATTATTTTTGTAAATGTTACCAATGTGGTTTTTGATGAGTTAAGGTTCAGTCCCACAGTCTGACACCATTCCTTCGTGGTTCGGAGTGCTTTTTCTATAGGGTCACAGAGTATTCCTTCGTGTTTGCCTCTGGCTATGATGACAATATCATCGGCGTAACCAAGGCAGTTGAAGCCCTGGACTCTCAGTGTATTTAGTAGATCATCGACTACTAGACTCCACACCAAGGGTGAGAGTACCCCTCCGTGTAGACATCCTCTCGTTGTGGTGACTTGTATCGTTTGTTCCCCCACATCCGTTTCTGCAGTTCTGGTGGCTAACGTTTCACACATCCAGGTGGATTTGGTTTTGGTACTTGGTTTGGTACTTCTTTATTCAGCAGTGTGTTTTGGATGCTGTCAGTGACTTCAAATAGAGCGGTTTCCGTGGATCTGCCCGCTCTGTAAGCATGTTGCGTAGGATGTAGTGGCGTCTTTTCTAGAATATTTGTATTTACAGTTATTTACAACTTTCTCAATTGTCTTCAGTAAGAACGACGTGAGACATATAGGTCTGAACGATTTCGGTAGAGTGGCATCCTTCCTCCCTGCCTTTGGGATGAAAGTTACTTTAGCTCTTCTCCATTGACTGGGTATGTATCGCTAGGCTGTATCTAATGAGTTTGATTACATACGGCATAATTTCATTTTGCTCTTTTTGCAACAGGGCTGGAAAAATGCCGTCTACTCCAGGTGAATTGAACGATTGAAATGAGTCGATCGCTCAAGCCAGCCGCTGCGGAGTGCAAAAGTTCTTGGCAACCTCCCAGTTTTCTTGCCTGGTTTTTCTGGGCCGTTCTTTGTTTCTTCAGTACCATTGGGTATACTTCCTGGAAAATGGGTTCCAGTAGTAGAGCAGCTCGTTGCTCTACATTTTCTGTATAACTACCGTCTGTATCTTTAGTTAGGTAGTTAGTACTTTTTTAAAGGTTCAAGAGCAAACAAACAGGCCAAACAAATAATAGCAAAATTGAGAAACGAAAACAATGACATTATAAATCATCAAATAAAGGACCAATACTGAAACAAACTGGGTCATCCTATGCCAACTCTAAAAAGGAAAAATCAACAACCAGAATCATAAGAGACGTCTTCTCTAATGGAGAAGGAAGACGATACCCCTGAAAGTGCTAATTGATTGAACTAGAAGAAGAAAAGATAGCTATAAAAGAAGTCAAAAATACCAATGCTTCGAAGTTCCAGGAAAAGATTGGTTCGAAGTTCCCCAGCCCTTGACAAGTCTAGATAATATCAATCACACTGATCGAATCTTGCAGAGGATGAAACATCCGCTTTGACAATAGGAGGCAGTAACTTTGCTGTAACTCCGCAACATATGCCTGTGAAAGAAATCGTATCCAAAACAAATGCAGCCATCAGCAATTTGACTATGAAAGAGCTGATAGCGATTGAACTTGGTCGAGGATATTATAATTCTACCAGCTGACAAGGATGTTACCGTTTTAATGACAAGTTAGGATTAGAAACGAGAAGTTCGGTAGTTACTTAATCCGTCCAGTTACCGAAAACCGAATAGAGATCCTGAGCAAGCCACTACGGGACACCAAAACATTGGAAGTCATCCACCCTATCAATTGCAGTTTAGAAAAATATTACCAAAACCAAAGCTCTACCACCAAATCTACAAAATTGATGTGCCGAAAGAGCGATAGTATCCGAGCACCTACCTATACCCTAGCATTGCTGCTTCAGCCTCATGTGTGAAAGCCTGAATCGTGTATCATGATTCATGACATAATTCTCCATCATAAAGATATTATAGTCATTGTAAAGATCATGTCCCTAATCACCAAAGTTTAATGAAATCGCTGAATATAATATGCAGAATCCTACCAGCTCTATCAGGCTGGCCTGATAAGCAGTTACCTTCTGTGGAATAGGGACTTTTAGGAACAAACAGATGCAGTGTCTATAGGGAGCCCCCACACCTAGCACAGAGATATCAAACTTCTATGAAGAGTTTCCAGCATAAAGCTATAGAGTTCCTCGACCTCAAATCGGCGGTACAGTTCTAGGTTCTAGTATGTGGATAACACCAACGTTGCTTGGAATCATGCAAGATAGCGGAGCTGGAATTATTGAACATTCATAAAAATCGTGCACTTTGTGCCAAGTTTTTGAAATTTGGTATAGTCTTAGGTATGGTCTCAAGGTTTCAGCTATCTCAAGCAACTTGTGCGCAACCTCTGGTGGCCTGTTTGCTATAAAATCATTATGGCCGCCATCTATATTGATATTTTTAATAGATGGGCTTCTATTAGTCATATTATATGATTGAGTAATATAGGGTTATCCAAGTTCACCTTGATAAAATAAATTTAGAAAAAAAAGACACTAAAGATTGAGATTGCGATAAAGTTTTTATCAATGACATATTATCACAGATAGACGGATTTATAAACAAAAATATATGTTGACAACATGTCCGATGCTTTCCATCCTGACCAAATTCCCCCACTACTAAAATGCCACATTTAGTCGTAGGAATATTTATTTTCTCTTTCTAACGCAGGTATAAAGTCCTGCCTTTCAATTACACTTGGCAACACAGCACTAAACTAAACTCGGCCTCCTCCTTGTCGTAGTAATACGTTCCGTTCTGGCCCAGAGTATCTTGTTATCTCTATCCTATGCGATGATGATTAGTATATGCTAAAAAAAGACCGATACATAAGATACGTTCGTGTTAGTCTGGAATACTTTTCGAATATCATCGTTTTGGTTTTGGGGCGGGACCAATTGAGCCTGGTCCATGGCAGGGAACAGCTGTTGAGGTCGGACTTAGATCGGGCGACTTATCCCCACCATGGAACGCCCGCACCCCAAATCCCCCCTGGCCTATAAACATGTTGTCAACACAACAAATACCCACATAACAGTGAAAGAACATCCATATTCTCAGAATATTCCCTCAAAGTGCTTTTTGGAATGTTCTTTTAGGAATGTGTAATGAATATTCTAAGATTGTTTCGATTGACATATTCATTTTTGGACGTTCTATTTATGTACTAGGAATGTTGCTTCTATGCACCTACCTGAAAGATTGTGCTAAGAACCTACCTTATATAACATTATTTGAATATTGTTATACGAACATTATTATAATGTACCCTAAAAAATGTTCTTTCGGCTAATATCTATCAAGTATTAAGAATATACCTAC